TTCCCTACAGTTAAGAAACAGAATACACAGCTATGCTGATAGGTTTTCAAGTCTCGTACAAATTTATTTCTATAATACACATCTATGCTGGGAGTATCAATTTTTCAGAACACAGTTTATTTATAATTATAATTATAATCAAATCACATCAATTAATTTACACAAATTTTAGGCACTTGAACAAGCACTAATAGATCTCTCAAGGGGACACTATATTGAAACAGGATAAACATCTATACTGATGAGTATTTAGGTCAAAGAAACATGATAAACTTCTATACTTCTATAGTGATGAGCATTGCACAAACATAATTCCTGAACACATCTGTATTAGGAGTAGCATTACAGAAAAATGCATATTTTATACTTTAATAATTATAACTAAAATCATCAAATTAAAACCTTAATATTGTAAATTCAGCTCTATATTTTGGAAGCATCAAATTTCAAAGACAAGTTGATTTTATATTAAAATATCATAAATAAACTAATTGTATCTTAATTCTATAATTTTATCAATTTTTTTTTAATAAATATTGGGGCTTGGGCTTGGGAGGCCCGCCCATGTGAGTTCTGCAAAGTAAGCAGCGTCAACACAAGGCCAGCCTATAACCCCTCCAAAAAGTCTTGCACATCAGAATGAGTGCTGCAAGCAGCTCCCACTGCTTGCTTTGTTTTCCTTACTCATTAGTTTAAGGCGAGTTCAAAAGTTGCTCACTCTATCTTATTTATTGGCTGAATGTTGGGTCAGCTTATTATTTCCAAACGATGTGGGACTAATTTTTATTGTAAACTTAGCCAGGCTCAGGTGCCTCTTACATGTTTGGTCTACTCGTTCATTTCAATCGATGTGGGACTGTTTTTAGTGCAAACAATGTTGGACTTAAGTGCTTACTAGTTACTATCCGAGCCTTTTGCATCCCTTTTTGCTTCCAAGTTCAGATTCTGATGTTAGTTTTATGTTCTTGATATCAAACTTTCCCAATAATCATAAGCGTACAATGGGAGGAGAGAACTTTGAATACAACTACAGAACGATAACAAAAACCTTTGCATTTATCAGTTGATTAAAAAAGTGGAAGTGCTGATAACTTATCTTTTACACCGATCGGTACTTATTGATTGCAAAAACTTTCTCTCAATGCAAGTTTCGCCCAATTTTGAAGCTGAAGGTTAGTGTACAAGCAATTATTCTGTACTGACAATCACAAATCAATAACTAAAATACCTCATTTTTAATGTATATATTTTAAGAATAATTATTGATTATATTAATTATGTTATCTGACAGATAATTTAATTTGTTGTAGTAATAGTTATATAGACAAAAAAAAAACTAATGTATTATAACTTAAAATATCAATAAATTCAAAATTAATATTTTTATATTAATAAGGATAGAAAAGTATTTTAGCAAAAACAAAAAAAAATTATTCTGAAAGAGTATTTAAGACTAGCAATAAGAAAATTCTAAAAGAGTAAGCCCATAAGCCCAACAATTCGATATTGGATACATCTTTTGACATTGGCAGGTGATAAACACACCTCCACTCTCGTATAAATATACCTCCTTTTATATATAAAATATCTAAATTACTCTTAAAAAAAATAAAATTCTTAAATTTACACTCCCTTCTCCGTAACCCTGTTCTCTGCACCCCCTTTCCCGCACTCCATACCCCCTTTCCCGCACCCCTCCTACGCGATTGAGAATTGTAGCAGGGAAGTGGTGAAGGCCTTGCTTGAACTCGGCGCAACCGACGTGAACTACCCCTCTGGCCCCGCCAGGAAGACGCCGCTCCACATTGCGGCGGAGATGGTGTCGCCGGACATGGTGGCGGTGCTGCTGGACCAATGTGAGAACCGTGGATGGGGTCACACCTTTGGACATCCTCAGAACCCTAACCTCGGATTTCCTCTTCAAGGAGGCTGTCCCGGGTTTGTCCCATTCGACCCTAAGATCAAGGCCAGTGACAAAGGCAGAATCATCAGAAACGAGAAACAAGACGGCGTCTGCCACGTGTTTGGGAGTGAGCAGCACTCCTTGCAGTCTGGCGAATTTCCGGTAAGCCTCTTGCATCTCCTCCTCGCTCATCCCTCGCCGTTTGCAAGTCAACGACGTCGCCAACCCATTCGATGAGATGCAGTTCACCCTTATCCCGTGCTCCGCAAGCTGCAAACTCGCCGAACGCATCAGCCCCAACACCGCGTGCTTCGACATGATGTAGTCCGTCACCGATGGTCCACCGTGGCTGCCACCCACGCTCCCCGTGCACACAATGCTCCCCCTCACGCGCCTCTCCACCATGGCACGCGCCGCGTGTTTCACGCATGCCGCCATGCCGCGCACGTTGAGCGCCAAAACCTTGTCCAGTTGGGACATGTCGAGGTCCTCCACGGTCTGCTCGGAGGGGCTAAGGATGCCAACATTGCTGAACATGATGTCCATTTGTCCGTACGCGTTCACCGTCCATTCCACCACCTTCTTCAGTAGCATATGCGGCAACAACAACAACAGCAACATTGGTAACCTTCTTCAATAGCATATGCGGCAACAACAACAACAGCAACATTGGTAACCTTTTTAAGCTGAGGCCGTGCTTGGAGCTTGTTCAATCCGGGGCTCTTGTCATGTGGCGAGAAGAAGGCAATGCCAACAATAACAACAATGGTGTGGGATGAGAGGAAGGGGGCTGCGGAGAAGGAGGGTGCGGGAAAGGGAGTGTAAATTTAGGAATTTTTTTAAGGGTAATTTAGGCATTATATATATATTTTAAAAAAAAGGAGGTGTGTTTATAAGAGAGTAGAGGTGTGTTTATCATCTGCCTTTGACATTTAAGCATTGTAAGCCCAACACACCCAAACATCATGTTTTTTGACATTCAACTATAGCACTACATCACAATAACACTATAGCACTAAACACAACAAACACATCGATAGAATCTCAATAACAACATCACAAGTATTAGTTACAGTGGTCAGCAATTTGAATATTCTGGTGATGAACAGTAAGGTTTGTCAGCAACCCTCTAAGCCGAATTTGAATTTTAAAAGTTAGACTATATCTTTAAAGGACATTCGAATTATAACACATTATATTTTTATGAAAAATTTAAATTGCATATATTGGACAAAATTGAGTGAGTTATGATATGATATATTTTTAAGGATATTAAGTTATATAGAACAGATTCGAGTAAGTTACAGACATTATATTTTTAGGACAAATATGAGTTATATTAAAAAATATTTTGGTGTGAAATAACTTAATCCATATAGTTTAATGAAAGATTCCAAATCCCCTTTACATCTTTCAACATTGTCATCCATCCATCATATTTACGAGTATTTTTCCTAAATGGCCTCATATCTTAAATTTCCTTTAAAAAAATTATTCTCAACGCTAAAATAATAAAATAATAACTCACAAATTAAAGTAATAGGAGATGAAGAAATGGATATAAAAAAAATTACTACGTAAAAAGTATTATGACACTTATCTCTAAACTAAATAAACATATATAACACTTAATTAGAAAATTAACCACTGCAAAGGATATATAAATAACAATTACATTCCTCTCTTACTTTATTTCTGAATTTTGAATTTCCAAGTAATCATAAAAATTAGAAAGAGGGAAAAAAAAAACGTCAGGAGAAAAATGAAAGAGTAGCAGAGAGTTTTATTTTATAGCATAAGTTGATACCTAGTGACTACCCAAAGTCCAAAGCTACTTGATCTTAGTTCCTAACAATTACCATTGTTTAGATTCTGATATTTATTTTATATTTTGGATTGGAAATTTATGCATTGTATGTGGTCTAATATTAGTTAGTTAGTTTGTGGGTTTGTTAAGAGGCCAATCAGTGCATTTAGCATGTGCTAATGCTATAGTTTGTATATAAGTCCTCTCTATTCATTCAATAAAAAATTAATTAACGGTTTTTCTTCATTCAATTTCTCTCTCAAATCTCATTCTATACAATTTTACCAAACTTAAATCCTAACAGAATAATTAGTCAGAAGAGGAAATGTTTGATATAATAGAAGAGATCTTTTTTAAATATAGCCGCAAAATGATAAGCTTTATCAACAGATTAAAAACATGTAAAAATTTTACACAATTTGGTATTTATTGTTTATAAAAAATTTCCCACAATCACAATACAAGTTTAGCTCAGTTTTAGAAAAGAAAGTTACTAATCATTAGAGTTATTCGGATCCTCTTGAATATAATAAAACTCTGTGGAATGGATGGCTTGGATACATGTATACTAGAAGAAGAATAATAGTTGGGATGCCAAAAATGATTCTTGACAAAGTACTTATCTGCATTCATGGAACTAAGCCTTTTTTATGAATAAAAAAAATGACACTACCAAAATTTTTTTGAATCGTATAAAACTGAAAAATCTATGAGATGATTTATTATCTTAAATCCTGCTTCTTTAAGTTCAACAAATTGCCGTTAGTGAACACAAATATAGCACAATCAATAAAAAATGTAATATATTTTAGAAACAAATTATATATATATA